CTTCCTTCCTTCCTTCCTTCCTTCCTTCCTTCCTTCCTTCCTTCCCTTCTTCCTTCCTTCCTTCCTCCCTTCCTTCCTCCATCTCTCCCTCCCCCTTCTCTCTCTCCTCTTCCTTCCTCTTCCTTCTTCCTTCCTTCCCTCTTCTCTTTCTCCACTGGCTCTTGAAAAAGCCCCTTTGGGACCCCCATCACCTGGAGGGCTGAGAATCTCCCTAGAGAACCAAGGCTGATGTTCCTTCCCTTCCACTTTCCCGCCCCACCTGAACTAACCGCCCTTTCCTGCCCCCAGGTTGGGTTCTTTGGAGGGATCCCACATGGATGAATTACGTTTCCCCTGTAAACTTTCCCTTCCTTCCTGCTTTCCTCTTCCAGATCGCTGAGCCCTCCGCCCGACGGCTACAGAGACCGCTGTAGAAGGACTCCCTGATGCCTGCAGCCCGGGAGGAGCATTATGGATTTGACTAAGATGGGTCTGATTCAGCTCCAGAACCCCAGCCACGCCACTGGCCTTCTCCAGAAAGCCAACCAGATGCGCCTGGCCGGCACCCTGTGCGATGTGGTGATCCTGGTGGACAGCCAAGAATTCCACGCCCACCGGACTGTCCTGGCGTGCACCAGCAAGATGTTCGAGATCCTCTTCCACCGCAACAGCCAGCATTACACCTTGGATTTCCTCTCGCCAAAGACCTTCCAGCAGATCCTGGAGTACGCCTACACCGCCACCTTGCAGGCCAAAGTTGAGGACCTGGATGACCTCCTGTACGCGGCGGAGATCCTTGAGATCGAGTACCTGGAGGAGCAGTGCTTGAAGATCTTGGAGACCATCCAGGCATCAGAAGACAACGAGGCCGAAGTCAGCATGACCGACGGCGGTGCCGAAGACGAGGAAGATCGGAAGTCCCGGTACATTAAGAACATCCTGCTCTCCAAGCATTCCAGCGAAGAGAGCGGCTACTCCAGCCTGGCCGGTCAGGGCCTGATGGGGACGATGGTGGAACACAGCCCCTCGGTCTCCACCTCCTTCGGCCTGGCGGCCATGAGCCCCACCAAGACTGCCGTGGACAGCTTGATGAGCATTGGACAGTCGCTCTTGCAGGGGGCTCTGCCCCGCCAGGCCCTCGAGGACTTGCACTCTGCCAATGGCCGGTGCCCGGCCGTGTCCGAGCTGAAGACCGAAGCCATGCAGGTAGAGGAGGCCTCCAGCCACGAGAGCCCCAGGTCGGGGGAGCTGGGCGCTTCCGGGGGGGACAAAGCAGAGGATAAAAGCAAGCAGGGGCCTGGCACCCCCACCCGCAGCAGCGTCATCACCAGCGCCCGGGAACTTCACTATCCCCGGGACGACAACGCGGAGCAGCCCCTCGAGGCGGTCCAGGGCCCCCCGGTTGGGCCGGACCTCCTGGCCTCCCACGGGGAGAAGCCGATGGGCATGTACTCGGTGCTGCCCAACCACAAGGGCGAGTCCATGCTGGGCCTGCCCGTCTCCATGGCCCCCACCCTGCACGTCCAGCCGGCCCTGGCCGTCTCCATGGACTTCGGCTCCTACGGAGGGCTCCTCCCGCAAGGCTTCATCCAGAGGGAGCTCTTTAACAAACTCGGGGAACTGGCCGTGGGGATCAAAACCGAACACCGGAGCGTCGGGGAGCAGTGCAGCGTTTGCGGGGTGGAGCTGCCGGACAACGAGACGGTGGAACAGCACAGGTAGCTCTCCTCCCCCTTCGCGGGTATTTTGCACCTTGTGCGCTTCCTGGGGGGGTCGGGCAAAGTCGCTGCGGTTCTGAGGGACCCGGTGAGGTTCCTTTTCTTCCTGGCAAGGAAGTCAGTTGCAGGCTGAGCCTCTTGCTCAGAAGGGAAAACCAAAGAGGNAGTCGAGGACTAGCGGTATTTACAGCATCCCCCAAAAGCATCTTGCTTGCAATGAGGGGGGGGGAGAGAATCTGTGCCCCCCTCAGCCCCCTTTGGTGAGACTCGGAGCTGCTCCCCCTGGTGGACAAAATCCCCCATGATCCAGGATGGGTTATTCTTTTGGGGAGGGGCGCATAGGGGCTTGTTTCACCCCCTCCGCCGCCTCCAGATTGTTGGCCTTAGCTTTCAGTTCCAGCCCACGGGGGCCGCGAAGGTAAGTCCAGCGCTCGGCCAAAGGGTGGGCGGGGCGATGTGGGCGGGGGGACCTCATGGTCCTGTGTGGGCCGGATGAATGGCTTGGCAGGCCACAGTTTGAGGACCCAGGCTTCACAACATCTTTGCGTTAAAAAGAAGCAGGAGAAAGAGAAACGGTCCGTAGCCACTTGTGCAGGGAAGATGGAGGGTACCCTTCCTGGATGACTCTGGTACGAGCCATTGGCCGTTGAATCCAAGTCGATCTCTCTTCTGCTGGCCTTGTGTGCTCTGTTGGAGGTGCTTAAACTTCTGGGTTTTCCCCCTAATATACAAAAGCAACTAAGTTGGAGATGATTTTAGATCAAAGGGGAGATCGAGTCATGGCTGTAGGAATGGGCCACCAGTAAAAGAAAAAGCAAACACTTAACGCATATTTGTGCAAAATGGGTGTGTGCATATTTGTGTCCTGTATGTAACTTGTACATAATTCTGAAGCACACTTTGGTGCAATTTTTTTTTTTAATCTTGCATCAGACTGGCATTGGTACATTTGGAATCGGATAACTCTGGCCGAAGTTTGGAGTTGCATGAAATCAAATTTCTGAGTCATTTGTAGTTTATTATGCTAAACCGAAAATGGTCGATATCCTGATGGGCGTATCTCTGTCTCTATTTTGCTGTGCTTGAGGCTCACCGCACTAAATCATGCTGAAAAAGAGTAAATTAGTTTTGCATCGGCTGATAACTCAACCGGAGTTCTGGAACTCTGCCTATTTCTTTCTGTAAATGCAGTGGGTAGATGAGGTTGCAATAGGTCAAGGCGTGGCTGGAGAATTCTGGGAGTTGAAGTCCAGACATTTTAAAAATCCAACCTACCAAGGCTGAAAAACATTGGTGTGAGGCATACACACTCTCCTTTCCTTTGGGTCATGTTGGCCTACTAGCCTACTTGGGAGCTGAACCTTCCGAAATAAAGGGTGTGTGAGTGTATGCGTGCATTTGTGTTTGTACGATTCAGATTGGATTAGATAAACGGAATACACTCATTCCTCCCCCCCCACCCCCACCCAGACCCACAATTGACTCTTGTGATCTGTCCTGCGAGACTCCAAAACCCCAAGCTGTTTAAATTGTGTGCTGTGGTTTTGCTGCCCAGTGTTTGCAGAACTTAGCCAACTATTTCAAGAACTCCGGTATCTCCTCAAAAAGTTTATTGTCCCAGGAAGCAAACAAGAAACAATGCAAAGTCCATTCTTTTGTTGTTTGCTGCTTTCATCATGAAGAAGGCACGGGCAATTTCACAAAGAAGGCACGGGCAACTACACCAGGGTGTAAGTGGAGGGAGAGAGAAGGATTACATGAGGAATTGGAAAGAGGGCCAAAAAAGTTGAGGGAGAACCTCCAGGTTTCTGCAGAACCAAATTTATCCACCAAAAGCTGAGCGAATTTTCTCAAGAATTCCAAAGAGCTGTAAATCCACGGATCCCCATCTTTTAGCCAATCTTGAGTTGGGAGCAGAGGTGCCAGACATCTGGTGGGTTGCAAGTACTGATAGTTGTGAGGCCTGGAGGATGCCTAGTTAAGAAAGATGGCTCCATGCACAATGAATGGTTTAGGTTTTAGGTTTATTGACATTCGTATGCCGCCCACTCCCTAGAGACTCTGGGCGGCTCACAGACAAGACAAGGGACATATATAAAAATTAAAATAAGAATACAATCATTAAAATTA